AAAAAAAAAAAAAAAAAAAAAGAAAAAAAGCAGAGAAAACTGCTTTGTTTTGTAACATTCTTTTTGTTGAATCTTGTGTACACGATTGAGGTTCTTTCGAATTACACTTTGAAGTGATGTCCTTGCAAACCGGTTTCGTTAATAGTAGAAAATATTTTGCAACTTTTTCATTTAAAAATAAACAGCAGAGCAAGTATCAGTTTTAATTTTCTCAAGTACTGTGTACCTTAAATATCTTGATTAAATTACGTTGATAGTTTTTGTAAAATATATCTTCTTATAATGTTGTTTGTTATGTAAAAGTTTTAGATTTTTATTGTAAAGCAGAACTGTGAAGTAAAATTAAAATTTTTCTAGGGCACGATGAATGACAAATGGGGTCAGACTCAATCTTCTGTAAGTATTCAAACTTGTTTCATACTGCAAGCAATTTCTGCCAGTAAGTAAAGCTTTCCTTGTCAATTGTTCATTTAGCACGACGAAGGTGGACGTAGCTATGGGAAAGGACGTGGTTTTATAATACCAAACAACAATAATGATGACAATTACAATGTGGGCAATAAAAATTACAACCCTTTTGGAGGGAATGAAGACAGTGATGGCAATAACTGGACATACAATGACAGTAACAATGATTTTAGAACAAATGATCGAAAAGGAGGGTGGGGAGGAGGGAAAAGCAGAGGAGGTAACAGTAGGGGAGGAGGAGGAAGAGATAGGGATAGTTTCAAGGGGGAAGGAAGAGGGAGGGATAGCGGTAAGGGAGGAGGATTTAGAAATAGAAATGGAGATTCCGATGATAATTGTAGTTATAGAAGAAATAAAGATAACGACTACAACGACTACGATGGCGATGATCTGAATGACAGAAATGATAGATGGAAAAGAAATTTTAGTAGGAACGACAGCAACGACGACATGGAAGAACCGCAGAAACCTAAAGAACACTATATTCCACCGGACTTGCCCACTGACGAGAAAATGTTGTTTGAGAATTGTGTCGAAATGGGCATCAATTTCGATAAGTATGACTTCATTGAAGTTAACGTGAGCGGAGAGAACGTACCTGAGCCGATAGAATGTTTCAAGGCAGCTGGTCTTAGAAACATTGTTCTAGAGAACATAAAAAAGTCGGGGTACACGAAAGCTACGCCAGTGCAGAAGCATGCCCTTCCGATTATAATGAGCGGTCGAGATTTAATGGCTTGTGCGCAGACAGGTTCAGGAAAGACTGCTGCGTTTGCGGTTCCCATTATAAGCATGTTATTAGAAAGGAATGCCGAACTAGTTGTGACTTCTTCACACTGTGAACCGCAAGTTGTTGTAGTATCGCCTACCCGAGAGCTTACTATACAAATATGGCAGCAGATTGTCAAATTTTCACTTAACTCAATATTAAAGACTGTAGTTATATATGGCGGAACATCTGTCCATCATCAAAGGGGAAAGCTTTTCGCAGGTTGCCATATACTGGTGGCAACACCTGGGAGATTATTGGATTTTGTAGAAAGAGGAAGAATCAAGTTTTCTTCATTGCAGTTCTTTGTCCTGGATGAAGCCGATCGTATGTTGGACATGGGATTCTTACCCGACATTGAGAAGATTGTAGATCACGAGACCATGGTGCCACTGGGTGAAAGGCAAACGTTAATGTTCTCTGCCACTTTCCCGGACGAAGTGCAACACTTGGCGAAGAGATTTTTAAACAATTATTTATTCCTGGCGGTTGGTATAGTGGGTGGAGCTTGTTCCGATGTCGAACAAAATTTTTACGAAGTTGCCAGGAACAAGAAGAAAGATTTGCTCAGAGAAATCTTAGAAAGGGAAAACGACGCTGGTACATTAGACGGTACTTTAGTGTTTGTTGAAATGAAGAAGAAAGCGGACTTTATTGCAGTTTTCTTATCCGAGAATAATTACCCCACCACCAGCATTCACGGCGACCGATTACAACGACAAAGAGAAGAAGCACTGGCTGATTTTAAAAGTGGTAGAATGTCTGTTTTGGTAGCCACGGCTGTTGCCGCTAGAGGCTTAGACATAAAAAACGTGTCGCACGTTATAAACTACGATTTGCCAAAGGGAATCGACGAGTACGTCCATCGAATCGGTAGAACTGGTCGTGTAGGGAACCGAGGAAGGGCGACTTCTTTCTTCGATCCTAACGACGATGCACCGCTGCGAGGCGATCTCGTTAGAATATTGAAGCAGGCGGGACAATCTATTCCAGACTGGATGATGGGTGGAAACTCGAGTAGAAACTTTATGCCAGGGAAAGGCACAAGCAAATTCGGCGGCGCGGATGTTAGAGGGGTATGTAACATTCAATTATGTCTTCGTTACAAAGTTGTATGATAACAATGCAGTAGCTACAATATGTTTGTTTGTACACAGCTTGAAGCGACCGAAGATGAATATGGCGAAGAAGCATTTATGCCATCCAAAGCAACTGAGCCAGAAGAAGAGTGGTAGGAAGTCGTGTTTGGTTTTTTTTTTTTTCTTTTGTTTCTTTACTTTTTTTGTATTACTGTTAGGAACATTCTTCTTTACTCGCTAAGTCAGAGGTACAAATAGTTTTCTATTCATTGAAACTTTATATTTAACGTTCACGATCAAAGAGATTAACAAGCGATAGTGACTCTGTCTTTTTTAAATAACGATTAGCGTCTTATTTAAGTGAAACAGACTGGATTATGTACCTCTTTAGGACCGTAAGTTGTATTTGAGATTATAACATATAATGTTAATTTTGTTGATGCGGAGAGTTGTTTAACTTCAAGGCATGATGCGCAATTTTGCAGAGAAAGCTGTACATGCAGCCTGTACTGTATCAATCGTACAAATATTAGTTTTGTAAGAACAAATTACAAGCTTATAATAATCACGTATAAACAATGTTTTATTTTATAAAATGGTAGTCTAAACGATATTATGTTAAGTGTTTTGTACGTTCTTTTTGTAATAAAAAGCTATAATGTAAAGTAGTGCCTTATTTTGAACAGTTGTAGAATTTTGAGGGAAACTTTGAATAACAATTCGTAAGATGCAACTTTTTGCAATACAGAGGTGAATCTGTTTTCTATGAAAATTCAATCAACAAGTGAATATGTACGATTAAAAGCACAATTCTTTGGCGATTGAAAAAGATACAATTAAGTTGAAAAGAATTTGGTACATACTGTCGTTCATGGCCATGTCCATCAGATGTAAATCCTCGTCATTTAGTAGAGATGAAAGGAAACCATCGGTGGTTTGATTGATCGAGTCAGACGTTGGAGTATGGTAGTACATCATATCTGCCGGCTCGGATTTATAAGCTGCTCCACTTTCTGCGCCCATCGGTTCGCTACTGTTTGTTAAATTCATTGACGTAGCCACGGCTGAGCCCAGATTCGACGACCCACCTGTGGCAATTAGTA